ATTATTTTGTTATTCAATTTTTAATATATACCTAATCATAGTAAAATCAAAATATTTTACTATAATATATAAATATTAATAAATAATAATCAAATATCATTAAAAAAAAAATCTGTGGGGGGGGTGGAAACCCCTTACACCCTCCCCGTAACTACGCCACTGGTTGTATGACATAACGATTTAAACAATAAAATTGTTTTAGAGCATATTTTTGCATATTTCGATATTTAACTAGGTATTCATTTTTATTTTAAGGGCTTATTTTACGTTTTTAATAGCATATTTTATCTTTTAGCACATATTTAGATATTTTTTTTATATTTTTGAAATATTTACTAGGTATTGTAATATACGGGGGTTAATTTGTTTATGAAAAATGTAGAAAAGTTTTATGAAAAAAATGAAGATTACGACATACTAACATTTTTAAATAACGAAAGTTAATCAATTCAAACCGATGAAAATTTATCTCCAAATTAAATTATATATTTTTTAAATACGCACTTGTTACTTTTGTAGATGTGTAAAGATAATTTTCAAAATATAAAAATTTGTTGACTGATAAATGCCAATCAATGATTTTTGAAAATATAACTAAAATGATTGCATTACAAAGCAATATACATTTAGAAAAAAATAGATTTAATTTAAGATATATTTTTGATATTAATTGATATCTTTTTTTCTTGTAGATGAAAACTACCCACAAAATGATTTTGGTTATAAAATTCCTTTAAAATGGATAAAAAAGTGTTTACAATAGGGTTACATAATTTAAATGTGATTTTTTTATGTATTATTTTAATTAAATGTTCAAAAATTAAATTTTTTTTTTGCTAAATTTCGAGTACATATTTTTTAAATTTTTTTAATGCATATACTTGTGTACGTTAAAGATTTTTTATCACATATTTGGTTGGTTTTTAATGCATATAAATCCACGCTATGATTATGAGTTATGTAAGTTAGAGTATGTAGCAATCACGTGCAGGAGCGGTTCCAGGGTGGCCTAGGGGCCATGCCCCCCAAGCCCGTACCGTATTTATAAAAAAATATATATTGTTAACAAAAAATGCATATTATAATATGGAGTATCATATGAAACGCACACGTTTGTAGATAAAGCCATAGATGTATGACGGTTAAAAAGAGTTTCTCCACACTTCGGAGACTAAAAACCTGGCTTCGTTCAAGGATGACTGAAGATAGATTATCAGCATTATGACTAATTAATGTATATCATAAAGTAGATATTCTAGATCAAATAGATCATATTATTGATATTTTTGCCAATTTTAAAAATAGACGACTTGAATTTGTATTGTAAAAATTGTTGTTTTTTTCTGTTATAAGATTATGTAAAATTATAACTTGCCCTACCCCTAACCAGTGCTCGACTTGGCAAAATTAAAGAAGGGGGACTCTATTTACTTTAAAAAAAAGAACTCCCCAAAACTGGCTGAGCGTTATAATAGTAGGGGGACGCTAAAATTTCTGAAAATTAGTTGGGGTACTCCGTCCCTCTGCGTCCCCCCACAAGACGAGTACTGTCCCTAACCAAGGCTCTAGAGCCGTCCCTGATCCCGTGTTCAAATTTTACTAATAATTATAACTGTTTCAAACACAAAAATGTTTAATTATGTAAGCGTTTACATTAAACAAATCATTGAGATAATTTTTATCTTAACCATGATTCTTTATTATTTCGGCCATTTTATCACGAATATATTAGTAAATAATATTGCATGTGTACATTCAATTTATTCATAGTAAATATTTTTAGCGGTGTACCGATAGCATCTTTACCAATTTAACCAATTTGAAGTATTGGACTCATTATTTATTACGCGATGCAATTTTGTTTGTAAGATGATCGAACGATCAATGAGATAAAGGGTTCATTTCAATTCAACATGAAGAACTTTTAAGGTCTACCTAATCTAACAACAATTTTGAGGGCAATTACTTTCGACTAATACTACGAAAAATGTATGATCCTGGAACTCTAATAAAAATGATGTAATCTTACGTGTTTTTTTTATTAAAAAAAAAAAATATCAATGTATAAAATACAGGACGATTACAACTAATAATAGTTTGACTGTTTACCTGATAGTTCGCAATCCAACTAAAATTGGTTTACAATAAGATATTTTGAAATCGATTCAAAAAAAACATACGTATTAGTAGGATATAATTGTATGTTCTGGGAATCCTCCCCCTAAAAAACGGCTCCCAGGCAATTCGCAATACACCAAACCTATCAAAAACCTTATGATTTGCCTTTTAAAATACAACCCCCAACACAAACAAATCTAACCACATTACCTAACTTATATTAGAAACTCTCAACACAGATAAACCAAACAAAAATCACGACTTTCCTGTTAAAATTAACTCTAATCATAGACAAACCTGTCTTAAACCACAACCATATACATTTGAAGAAGATATATAATAATATTATATTTATGACTTACATATTGCAGTGCTAGTGTTATTATTTATTTCTATACATTTCAACATTTGTAAGCTATCATAATCATAAACATTGCATTAAGAAAAAAAATCCGATTCTGACCGAATGTGTACCTTACTAACACTTACGATTTAACTACCCATAATACTACCAGAAATATGAATAATATTCTAGACATTATGAAATATGATTAAGATCAGTAAATCACCAAAAGCAAATTAATTATTTTCCTACGTTACCTAGGGAAATTTTGATCATAATTACAATTGAGTAGGTAATTTTGTAGTTTTGTAAAAATAAATATCATCAACTGGCAACTAATAAGTTATCCGCAGTGATAAACGCATTTTTACGATTATATTTAATATTCTATTGACGTTCGAATTGCATTTATTAATCATACGACAATTGAATGATGTGATAAATAATAATATTCAATATTATGTTAGATAAGATAATTTTAAATCAAAAAATTGGATTTATCCCGTTTAATAAAGATTTTATGTAGAATATATTTATAGAAAGTACAGGTAATTTTAAAAATAAAATTGGGTGTTATGTTATTGTTTAATTTGTACCAATGAAACTCATCACTATTATCAGGGCCGGCGAGGGTTAGAGCTCCGGGGCTCGTCGTTTTGACCTTGTACAATGTTTTTGTTGTACCAAAGCATGCACGAGTGGTCTTGGTCAAAAAATTGCAAAAAGAAGGGGCCCCGGGGCCCTCAGTAGTTCTCGCCAGCCCTGACTATTATGTATATTTAACTCAGGTGTGGATCTAGAACTATAATTAGGGAAGGGGTAATTTTTTCGAAACAAAAAAATAATATACAGTTACAAAATAATAATAGTAAATTATTATTGTTAATTTTTAATGACAATGCTTAATTTATTTTGTTTTAGAACATATATTAATTTATAAATAATCACGAAGGAACTAATCTTGATGGTTTTTTTTCTTTGAAAGGTGTCATGACTTCCTCTGGATGTATGTCTGAATTAACTACCCTATAGAATCTAACTTAAAAGTAATATTATATATATATAAATTTATTGTTTTTATTTTCTAGAGCATTTAAGTTAGTATATTAGTCCATTATATCGCGGACAAATTTAAAGATAGTTACTTCATTAATGTCCATTACCAGTCTGGTATGTAGAGGGCTCAGGATGCATTTCTTCAGGACTCTCAAAATTATAGAAAAGTGCTTATAAGTAGTGTAAAATATAAAAAATTTTAAAGGTACCTTATTTAAAATATACAAACAATTAAGTTAACTACATAGTTAGCATAATTATTTCTACTCATAATACTACAATTTTATATAAATAATACCTTATAATATACAACTTAATATTTTTTTAATGATATGCAATTTGTACAGTTTTTTTTTATAATGTTAATTGTTTAGTTCTCAAAAGGTTGGCAGTAATTAAAATTATATAAAAAAATAAATTATGATTATAATTTATAAATTTTTAGAAATGAGGGTCTCTCAACACATATTCAACCAAGGGTCCTCGACGTATTTGCAGCCAGTCTTTCATAAATACCTGTTCAACTCGTTCTTGATTTATTTAACCCATATATTTTTTTACAACAAACAATAGTACACAAACATAATTTGTAACATATTCATTATGCAGTGATGGTTTACTGTCTCGTACACAATTATGCTATATTATAGGATTACATGAGATGTTTGAACACGAGAAATCATTTAGTGTATAATTGCTGGGTAGCATCAGCTGCAGCATCTAAAGTAATGTATTTAATTCAATTGCGTGGTCTCGAATCATAGTTAGTAAGGTAGTCGAGTAACTCGCAGTAGTTCAGGCATGTATTTGTGTGAAATTGGCTCCACTACTTTATCCATTACCTACACGCCAACATCGAACTGACCAGAAGGAGCGAGAAAAGCTTCACTGAAACGGTACGCTGATTTATAAGTCACCACACACAATTTATGTATAAATATATTATTTCTATTTATAAATATAGCAAGGTAATTAAAAATAATTTAATTAATTAATTAGTAATTTGAATCTTTTAAGTAATATAAAAATTGCAATCAATTATTTTTTTAAGCAGTGTCATTTAGTACAAGAAAATCATATTTTTAAATATTAGAAAAATAGTTTTATTTTTAAAACTAAATGATTGTATTCACATAAAATTTCAAATTTCATGCATTAAAAGTCAGTCAGTTATAATTTTTTTTTAACTTATACTATTTAAATTTTAAATATTAATTAAATAATATTTTAAATAAACTGAAAACTGACTTCAAGTATTTAAAATAAATAGTAAAACTAATAATAAATAATAATTCAATTGTTTTAGTGTTGATATACAACCATATATTTTACCTATCTTAATGAAACCAAGAAGTAATGCTGAAATAATTTTAACAAAATAAAATGTAGTTTTTTAAATTTTTTTTCTAATATGAATTAACTAAATAATTTTAAGTCAGTATTAAGAGAAAGTAATGGAAGACCATTAAAAAAATACAACTGATTAAAACCACAGTAGTTATTTTATTGTGAAAAAAAAAATGCAATTTATTTCAATGGGATAAACCTAGAGCTGTGAGTGGCACCAATACCAGGTCTACCGTGCTTGACTGGTTTGTATGTGACACTGAATTCACCCAAATAATGACCAATCATTTCAGGCTGTAAAATAAAATAACATATTGAATATTACTATTCTAAACCAGAACAGTTAAAATAATAGTCTTATTTACAATCTGATGTTATACTATAAAATGTACTAACCTTGATTTCAATTTGATTGAAAACTTTTCCATTGTATACACCAATAATGCTACCAACCATTTCAGGAACAATGATCATGTTGCGGAGATGAGTTTTAACTGCTTCAGGTTTTTCCATTGGTGGAGCATCTTTCTTTGCACGACGTAATTTCTTTACCAATGCTGACTCTTTACGTTTAAGACCACCACGTGAGAAACGCCTACGAGCGCGCGAGTGCAACAGCTCGATCAATTGTTCCCTGTAGTAGAGATTTTGATAAGGTAAATATTATTGACTATAGAAAAGTATAGTTGTAATTTACCCTTGGATATCTAAAAGTTGGTCCAAGTCAACACCACGGTAGGTGAATTTACGGAAAGGCCTTTTCGCCTTGTGCTCAACTTCAGTCTGAAAATATAATTAATTTAATTTAATTACGATTTCCAGCATTGCAATACTAAGAACACATAATCCAATCGTTCTGTGAAACGCAGTTTAAATGAAGGGAGTGTTCAGAAATCACATCTGAAAATGGTTTGGATATATACCCGGAAAGTTTAATATACTCATTAAATTATTTTCATGTCAATTTTATGAATAATAAATAATATAAATACATGGTACCCCCACCATCCCTCTAAGGTAAAATCTTCGTCGTGCAAAGTCGAACACGAACCCATTTCGAATTGATAAAGACCACGCATTCAAACGCAAGAGAAGTGTTTTAAAGTAATAGAAACACTTTTTAAAATAATAAAAAACGCCGTACGAGCGAGGTCGACGCCGTGTATGAAAATTAATTGTAGGTTAAATTTTTGCCGTAATCTTAAACGAATGGCGGACATTCATTTTGATTAGCGTTAAAATTGTAATTAAAGTAGAACAAAACTTACAGTATTTTCAGCCATGATTGATCAGACGATCGGTGGAAGTTTTCCGAAACTGTTTTATGGGAAAAGCGTGACTTCTTGTCGAACGAAATCAAAAACGTAAAGAGAACTGGAATGGTACGAAGTATGTGTAAAACACGTTTATTGTGTGATCGTTTCGCAGTGCTACCAATATGTATACATTTTGTGATCATGTACGTTTATATTACATCTTTGGAATATCAATATCCACAGATATTTATATTTAAATTTATCTGTACCTATATCATTCTTCCTTATCATTTTTGATAAAACACCAAACACACGATTGTCAATATTTCTTGATACGTATAATGCCATTGGCGACTTTTTGATTTTGTGACGGCCGTAAAACGTTTTGGTTTTTGTTTTTTACTTCGATTTCGGGACATAAAACCCGTGTGAAAAATCGAAATTCATCAATAGTTTTTCCGATCATGTTTAAACCTCCCTTGTTGGAAGTAGAAAGCTGGAAAGGCGATTGGGGATTGCCTTCAATCGATTATAAATGCCTCGAAGTTTTGGTAAAGTCGTAGTTATTTCTTCCTTCCCATGTTTATACTGAATTGTTGATGAATTTTTTCAAAGGTCTCATAATAATTTTATGTCTTATTATTTAGGCTTTTGCCAGATTTACAAATGCACCAATTAACATAAATCATTCAAACAACCCGTTCAAATCTGTCACTGGCCATTTACCGGTTGTAAGTTACAACAAACGATTGCTAATGGATCGGGATGGTTTAATCGATTGCCTTGATAAGCTGGTAATTTCATTTTACCTTGTACTATTCTTCAACTAGGCATGTATTTTATTGTTTTGATTGTGTTTTAAGAATCTTAGCCCAGATTGTGGTCTTACTAATCTTCAGTTAGCTGAAGAACATGCTGCCATCAGTATGATTGATGCCCAACTTGAACCAGCGTTACTGTTTTCTTGGTAATCAAGCTGCAATGACTCAATTTTATACTCCTATCTAATATTAATATTTTTTGTTTTTATTGCAAAGGTGGATGGATGAAAGCAATTGCCTAAATTTCACAAAACCATTGTATCGAAATGCATTAAAATTTCCATTCAATTGGTATTATCCTAATGTATATGAGAAGGAAGCTAAGCACAAAATATATACATTATACAATCATTTAGAATCAGATAATGATATTATGACTGAGGTAAAATAATTGATATACTGCATAAAAATATTTTTTTGCTATTAAATTATAATTTTTTAGATCTATGCAGAAGCTATAAAATGCATGAATAGTTTGGAAGGTCGTTTAGGCAACAATTTTTATTTCTTTGGTTCACATCCGACATTATTAGATGCTGTTGCATATAGCTATTTGGGACCACTGTTAAAAGCACCCATTAATGGAAATAAATTACAAGCACATTTGAAGACTTGTAAAAATTTATGTATCTGGATAGACAGAATAACAAGAGAATATTTTAAAATCGATTGGCAAGCACATAAATGTAATGAAAAGAAAATATTGGAAGAATCTAGACAGCAAATGAATGTGGTACCTTGGTATAAGAAAGAAGAGACAAAAAACATATTAATTGGATTGGTTACAATGGTTACAATGGTTATTTACTCATTTAAAATTGGTCTCATTAGTGTGAGTTGTTATTATTTAATCATAAATACAATAAATATTGTATTTTAATTTTCTTTTTTTTAGGTAAGCGATACAAGTGATGAAGAAGACGAAGATTGATTATGCAAATTAAATTTCAATTTAGTTAGTGATTTGTTATTTATATTTTTTTAATGTTCCTTAATTTATTAGATTTTAAATAAATGGATCAAATTACTTATAGTTTTTAACAAAATTATACTTCTTTTATATATATATATATACATAAACATCAAGGTTTTAAGCAAAACAAAATCATTTAATATTTATAAATTTATGTTCGACTTCATAAATTCCAACAGGTTGGTTTTGTCTATCATCATAATCAACCCATTCTCTCTCTTCCAAGTTTACATCTTCAAACATGGTATTACTATCTACTCCATGACATTTAAATCCATTTCTAGGTGAAAAGTCAATAATTGATACTCCTCTACAATCAAATGCAACAATACTTTTAAATGTATTTGAATCTTCTATTGTATACTTTGTAATTGTTTCTGGTAAAATATCTTAAATAAAAGAATATTAATATTAGAATCTTTTAATAGTAATAATATAATATTTTATGTTTGAGCTTACCAATCGAACAGTCTCTTGAACACATTTTACATTTGGTGACTAAATTTGCTTTGCCTCTACTTCCTTTCATCGGAACCGTCTCCTAAATATTATAATGTTTCATAAATAATAAACTTAAAATTTAAAATAATGATTTATATTTAGAAATAATAAATATTTACATCTTGAGATAAATAAATCCATTTGTCAGACTCTTCACCACAATTTGTGCATCGAAACTATAGACAAATTATAGAAAATAGTTATTTTATATTAATAACTATGATCAGTCAAGTAATAATTATTATTATCATCTTTTACTTAATATTGCATTTCCTGTATATAATTTTTTAAATAGATATTCAATGTTTTAACAATAAGTTATATCTCAGTTTATGAATATTATTTATTTATAATTTATAATGCAAATGTTGTATAATTAAGCAAAGTTAAGTTAGATTTTTTTAAGGATTTAATGCTAAAGTAAGGAATAATTTATATTTAATACTATCAAAGCCTCATGACAACTATAGTTGAACTAGGGTTCTATTTAGATAAATCTATGTCAAGTATAGTTGACATGATGTCCATTCATTTGTATACATAATTATTTGACTCTGATTTATTCTAATAAATATTATGATAACATGGTTTTTTTTAAACAGTTTTCTGTGTATCGAGTGGTGTACTTGGTTTTAAAATCCAATAGCTGAATAGCGATATTAGTAGTGTTCATTGTAGGCATACTATTTTTATTTTTTAAGAGTGACACTGTATGATTCTTGCATATGTTAACAGTTTGATTTTTAACAATTTGTAATTAGACAGAATAAATTCTAACCCTCCATAGTTTTTGACTATAATAATAATATGACAGGTATAGACCGAGCAGATCAGATGATAAGATACTACCAGACTACAAAGAAATGGTTACGTTGGTATAATAAAGTTTTTTTTACACTATGGACATAAGCTTATGGAATGCTAATTATTTGTACTAGTAAAAAACAAGTATGCCACATTTAGATTTTAGAAGAATTGTTACTTTAATTGGTGTTATGTGTATTTACTTGGTATATAATTCCATATATTGTATTTAATCCATAGATTGTTTATACTTCCAAAGATAATACATAATTCCATAGATACAAAATAATCCATAGACAATATATAATCCATATTTGTATAATAAATAAATAAAAATACAATAAAATAAAAAATAAATAAATAAATCTATGGAATTTTATGAATTTTATTTTTTGGTTTTTTTATACGACTTTTCAAATTATGGGGTAGCCATGAACATATTAATTCTTGATTGAAATTAAAATGATTACTGAACAATTAAAAGTTCACATGATGAAAGAACAAACAAGTGGCTAATCAATCACATATAACTATGTCTATTATTGGTTCTTACCTTACATAACAATATAAAACACAATAATAAATTAAATTGTCAATTATCAATATCAAACAAAGCTTATAATCATTAACATAATTTTCAACTAAGAAAACTAAATCTATCATAGTCTTCCCAATTAATATAAAATATTTAAATCATATGCTTTATACTTAAACCGATGTTAGGAACACTCATTCTTAAGTCTAAATTATTATATTTTAAAAATATGAACTTCAAGTTTTCAGTTATGAAACTAAGTACCTAATTTATCAGGTCTAAAAAAATATTGAATATTATCAATTTGTAATGGCATATTATTATTGATAATATAAATATATAATACATAAGCGTCCAAGACGAACGCACCCTGTTTACCTTAAATAACTGTTAAATTAAAAAAAAAAATTTATAAAGAACTTTTTATCAAAAATTTAACCTAGTTTTTTTCATAGAAATTTTTAAAAATATAATAACATACTTTTAAATACCACCGAAAGTCTTCACCATCCGCTTGAAGTTCTGTTACGTTTTCCAAATTTGCTTTAAATTGCAAAGCAATTTTCTGAAAGTTAATAAATTTTGATTAGTTGAATCTTCACAATTGTTTTAAAAAATGGCAATACTTACAACCATGTTTTTGAGAATATCTAAGAACAGTATTATAACAATCGTGGTAATTGTATAAAAAGTGATATAACTAAAATTGTTTTTTTTTTAAAATTTCAGTATGTATGCTTAAATAGACCAAGTTACTGTTGAAATTAAATGTGTGATAACATAGATTATATTTTAATCTGTAGTGATAGTAGAGATAAGTCATGTTATCATGTTACCTTACCTAGTGTTTTAAAATACAAATTTCATAATTGAAGCACAGAATGAGTTACATTCAGTGCTCGAATCGGGAAAAATTAAGTAAAGGAGCTCATTCCAACGTTTCGAAAATTGCGTTCCACATGCGCAATTATTAAACACAGATCCGTAGGGGGGCTTCGTCCTTCACCCTTACTCTCATCCAACCATACATATATTTTGAATACCACATTTCAGCTAAACAAATATTTTAATTTCAAATATAATATATTTTGATAGCAATACCAACATCCTACATGTTACAATAGAAAATAAAAATAAAATAATTATTAACATAATTGTAGGCCATCAGACAGTTTTATGAATCGAACGATATAATCATATATTTGGTTTTTGTTTTTATCTATTTTTACTCTTTAGTGTGGGCCATAGCCGAAGATTAGTCGTGGTGCGGGCGTTTATATTTTTCCAGAAATGACGACGTTGTCCCTTATTATAACCACCATATAATCTTTAATTATGAAAATAGTTTTGATATTAAAATTCGTTTTCAAATTGACGTAAATTGAAATTCACATAAAAATTATTTGGGACATCAATTAGGATGAACATGGCGTCCCCTCTTTCCGGTGAAAAAATATAGTTGGGGTACGCAAAAAAAATAGTAGAGGAGCTCCGTCCCCCTGCGCACCCACCATTCGAGCACTGATTACATTTGACCATTGGTCTTATATTATTATATATTTATTAAACAAATCAAATGATAAATGTATTCATATTAATGGATTTAACAGTGGTGCATTATCCGGGGGGGAGGGGATCCCGAATCACAACCCTCTCGGTAGAAAAAAAAATGTTTAAAAGCCTTACTATGAAGGTACAGAGAAGGAGAACATTAATTTATATTACGTGGTTGTAAATAATTCTTTATTTGTATTTATAATAATAATTAAGTAATATAATTATTAATTCATGTAGGTACCTACATGTAATTTTTATAATATTATAAAATCATGCAAGCAAAAATCATAGCATTTTCAATAATATTTATTATAAGATGAATTATTTAATTGGTACAGAGTTTTTATTGTCACCATCTAGATTTACAGGTAACTTCAAATGGCCAGCTTGCGCAAGAAAAAATTAGTAGGTAAGTGTTTAAAAACGGTTTTCTTATGTATTTTGTTTTTTTTGGCATAAATACTTATTGTATTTTTGACTTAAAATAAGTGATTTTATTTTTATTATTAGATGTAGGGTTGTTTTTGTTCTTTGGCTTTATTTTATGATTTGTGATAGGTATTTGTTTGATGGGCTATCCTTTTTATGGTGTTGGATAGATTTGTTGTTTTTTTTTTATGTATAGTTATTCTAGAATTTCTATAAGAATTCAAATTTTTCAATAATATAATTGGAACTCCCACCTTTAGTGATATTTTATGAGGAGGCAACCAGATGGTGTTTGTGAATTAAAAACTCAATAGGAAAATTTACCTATTCTTCACTATTAATAACTGCAATAGTAATCCATTTTTAGTGCTTGAAATCCACTAATTATTAGCGAGTTTATTGAGTCAGCTCGGTTATTTGTGGTTGTGAAAATAACACGGTTTTCCATATAATCCTACATAAGTCATAACAACCGTAATTGGTCAACTGCTATTGTTATTATTATATGAATATAGATATACAAATTACATGAAAAAAATTATTTTTACCGATGTCAACCCTTTAAATTAAAAATTTTGAAAATCGGGTGACGTGATGATACTAAAGAAGGTATTTGGAACAATTCTGTCAAAAAAAAAAAATTAAAAAAAGTTAAATAGCGTCTTCACAAAATGGGTACATAAAAAAGGACTGTTCTTTTATATATATGAGGATATCTTAAAATATTTAAATCATATTATTCAAATTTATAAATAATAATAATTTCTTAAAAAATAAGGTTCATAATTATAAAGTATATTTAAATTTAAATTCATCAATCTAATTTTATTTGAAAATATTCAAATTTTAATTCATTTGCTGTTATGTTTTTATTTTCAGAAATTGGACTTATTTATGTTTCAACCTTCATCAGGATTCGTTCGGGAGCCAGGTAACCCTTTTAATTTTTTTTTTGAATTATATACCTTAAATATATAATGGAATAAAAATAAAAATTAATTAACTTACATAAAATATCTAAAAATATTTAAATCATATGATTAAAATTAACTTATAATAATAAATTCTTAATAAATCGCCTTCATATTTATCAAATATAATTTAACTTTATTATTTAACATTTATATTTATTTTACATAAATTCATCAGTAATTAATTTGAGCGGGATAATTTTCATTTTAGATATAAATGATAAAAAGCTGCATCATCAAGACTTAATGCAGGATACACTGCTTAGCATTTACTCATGGGATTTAAAAATTGGAATAATGCAACATCAAAATTTAAAATGCATCAAAACACAAAAAATCATATTTATAATGTTAGGTAAAGGTTAGGAATATGTATGTAATGCATGTCAGATAGAAGTACCTATTGTTAAACATAGAAGAGTATCTAATAAAATTGATAAAAACCATACTCAACATTTTAGTTTAGATAAAAAGAGTGAAATGAAAAGGGCTTATTACGTTATATTATATGATTAATTCAACGGCCTAAAATGAATACTGTTTTAGTTAAGAAACATTGAACCTTATAAATTCTATAAGTTGTAAGCAAAACAGATTAGATTCCATGATGATGATTTTTGTGGAGCAATAATAGGCACCACAAATCAATCTAGAAGATGTAATTGATGAATTCAAGTTTATGTACCCAGGTAAACGTCGTCTTGAATAATAATTTATAGAATTTTTGACTTTTAAGAGAAATAAAATTATTAAAATTATCATTAATTTATTTATTTTTTTATTAATCCTGGCCCGACTTGTTATGTGGCTAAGTAGTATACTAAATTTTTCAATCTGTTTGTTATATGTACATCCTCAGCGAAAAAGTCCTGTGCATGCCTATAATGGCACGTATTATAATATTAAGACACTAACTGCTCGTCCGAAACATTATACTCATATGTAACGTAAGTGTTTTTAATCAACTCATTATATGTTATTCAAATGCCTTGATTTTGTTTGCCAAACTAAACGTTAGATTTATCTCTGGCCATAGCGGGTTATCTCGCGTCACGACGGTGGGGAATATTATGATAAAAATTTGACGATTAGGACGGTAAAAAAAATGTCCTGGGAGGCAACAACATTAATTAGTTCTTAATTGCGTTGTTAATTACCTGTCTACTCTTGTGTTGATCACAATTAAGATCCCGGATTAAAATTTTAAATGAATCCAACGTAAATACTATTACGAATGGTGTTTATTTATAATTCATGTTGTTAAGCTTTTTTTGTTTAACTTGACGACGCTAAAACGATATGTATGACAATAACATTGACCGGATATATAAAAATATAGTGCAATCCAGGGACGTAATTTCAACTTTTGAAAGAGTGGAGAAACTGATAAAATTTGCCAACTTCATAATATTTAAAAAATTATGGTTACCTATATATTTAAATATTTAATATTTGTGGACGATAAACTATCATTTTTCGGGACAAAACATGTAAGGATTAGTAATGCATAATGATGTCAAAAACATGAAACGTTTCAATTTACCCAATTAAATAATAACATTAACAGTTTAAGCGCCAAGACAAAAAATTCAGTTTTGAATATAGTGCCACGTAGGGTTTATATCCCTATGATGTGACTTGTAAATAGCACCAAGTAGGGTTTTGAAGCCCGTCATGCAGTACTTGTTTTTGTCGTCACGTACGGTCTTCAAAACTTTAACTTTACATGTTTTCTTAAGGAATTCAAATAAAGGGTGTCCCGTAGGACAAGTTTATGAAATAGTTCATTGAAATACCATGGCGTTTTAATTATATAACCAAGTTATAATATAGTTTATATCAAGAAAATTGTATACGGGTTATTTTCTTACGATTATTACTATTATATTATGTAAATATTCGTTAACACTTACAAATTTAATGTAATATTATCATTTTCACTCAGTACTCATTTCTATTCAAACGTTTATGCGTGTATCGAATACGTTTAGATAACATTGAACATGAGTAAACATAGTGCAAAAATACATAAAGCGTTTAGAGAGTGTAGTGAAAAAAAAAACGTAATAAAACCATAATTAAAAAGTCGTATTATTACTGCAATTGGACAACAGTAAAAAATGCAACTCGTTAACTAAACCACATTTTAGATTGTTGTAAATACCTTAAAAACATTAAAGATGTCTTTAAATCTGATGCAGCTCATTTAACCGATACAAGTATGTGGTATACATTTTAGTTTTATTTTATGATCTTATCACAAGATAACTTAAAAACGGTTTTAAATCCATGGATACTCACTTTTTTATTGCTAGTTGTAGTTTTTTAATTACCTATTAGGTAGTAAAATATAGGTACAAAATGATCATTAATCCGTGAATTTAAAACCTTTTTAACGTCACATTACACATAATAATCACGGTCGTATATGGTGACTAGATATCCAGATATTTAATGAAATAAATATTTATGGAAAAATAGAGTATGTACCTACTACTATTATTTACATTAATTATTTATGAACCCTTATTGTTTTTGAAACTTAACATACTGAAATTTCATAGTGTTAAATCTTACTGTATTTAAATTTTAACATGTAACTTTCTTGATAAACAAAATTCAAGTAATAATAAACATTAAAAATTGAAAATAAAATAAAATAATATAAATTTAATGACTAATAAAATAACTTAGGTATATCAATAACGATGATACAAGATCAATTTATTTGTTTTCGTGAAGGTCTGTTATGGTGACAGTACATAATTGTTATTTTAAGAGAGAACGGAAATGTTTGACAAGATTGGAAGAATCTTTC